CACCCATCCCACCCCAGGGGAGGACGTCCACCACACAGTAATCTCGTGCGTGGGAAATTAACGTCTCCTACCCCTAACCCTCAGGAGACGGGACCTACGGTTTACTCGTCCTTATCCGAGAAGACTGGAATATCTATCCATTTCTTGTTACAGAAAGGCAGCAAATTCTCCGCAGTTATTTTAAGACCATGAGTATTGGTCCGGCCAGGGCTCGAACCCTCGACCTTCCGCACAATAAAATCCGGCGCTCTAACCAGTTGAGCTATATGCTACGCACCTATGAAGACTGATTGGGCCACAACTAGACCACACTCAAAATGCTGGCCCAGGAAAGGAAAAGGTGGAGAAGGAGGTTCATCGATGACCGCCTGTGCTCCAGGAGAAGCTATAATGGATATAACTAAAAAGTATGTGCACTTAAAATCTCAAGTCAGTGCATCTCCCCATACTGGAGAAATAATAGTTCGAAGTTCTTCATAGTTACGGAAGTTTGTTTTAAGGTGTAAGCCAGCCAGGGGAATGTCTTTAGCCCAGTCGCAGTAGTATCGTGTGGGCGAAATCCGAAGGTCTTTGGTTCGATTCTTCGTCGGGTACTCGGGTGTTTTCTTTGTCCCATGCTCGTGTCGAAACGATGACACTTCTCTCTAGGTCCAATCTATGTATGTTAGATTTTGAATTACGTTTTTTTGGATTACGATTTTTTGAATTACGGATTTTTTGGATTGATAGTTTACAAAGGCTCCTCAGAATTAAAAAACGTTGTGCTAGAGTAATTTTAAGTGTAGGCACTGAAAGAACAATTGGCCTTTTTAAGAGATTAGGTTAGATTCCCATAAGTCACATAATAGTGCAAAGGAAATTGTGTATCATGCATAGCATCATCATTGGGAAATTTCCTGATTACTTTAATCATTGTATTCGTTATGTTAAAAATAGACATCAATACACAACTCGGACGTCAACTAATATGGACTTATCCGCACCTTCTTTTAGCACCATGACCGGTAAACGTTCATTTCTTGCGAGTGGCACTAGATTACGGAACAACCAAGACAGCACTTCTAGGGGTCTCACTTCCCTTTGTAAATTTAGAAATGAACTATACATGAAATATATAGATCGGAACTCCAGAATTAATAATTTTACTATAAGCAGAAATTTTTGATTAGTTTTTAGTTGTATTTTTTCTTTGTACTTTTGCCATTTGAATTTGAAGTTTTAGAGGACCACAATGAAAACTACTGGTTCTACCAGTAATTGTGTAATCCAATAAAGTCATTATTATTATTATTATTATTGTTATTATTGTCGCNTATTCAGCGTGCCCGAGAGCACTGCCCTCTGCATCTTTCGCAGTACGTCTGTGCTTCTGCCTCCCACCAGCTCGCGCATCATGACATCCAGCTCCCGTGACCACCCCCCGAGGGCATCCATAATGATGTTATATTGCTTCACCTCGTAGCCTGGGAACTGCTGCCTTAGTTCCCAGCGAAGGGGTCCGTACTTCAGTGTCTTCTCTTCATCCTTTCTTGTCCGATTGTTAACCCACGGGCAGCTCATTTCCAGGGTCACAACTCTCTTGCACATTATTATTATTATTATTATTATTATTATTATCGTAGTTCCTTAAAGTCTTGTTCTTTTTTCTTATGGTGCCGAGTTCAATCGATGAGCCCAGGGCTGTCATAAGTCTGCTGGACTACTTGATGGATAAAGTCCTCCTCAGTATACGGGCAGTTCCAAGGAGAACGGTCTTCTGTAGCTCTGCTATTTTGATATTGCGTGGGATCTTGCCAACGTAGGTTTCCATTCCCTTCTTAACAAGCCCAACAACTCCAATGATCACTGGGACGGTTGTTGTTTTCATCCCCCATATTTTCTCGATTTCGATTTCAAGATCTTTGTACTTGAAGAGTTTTTCTGCTGTTTTCAAGGAGGTGTTCCTTTCTGTGGGGATAGACATATTGATGAGCATACAAGTTCTCTCCTCCTTGTCTTTTACCACTATGTCTGGTCTGTTTGCCTTTATCTCTTTATCAGTTTGGATTGGCATGTCCCAGAGTATAGTCGCTGTTTGTTTTTCTGTCACAGTAGATGGTTCATGTTCGTCAGTAGTGTTTATCTTGCACTTTGATGTTGTAGTGTTCGCATATTGTCCAGTGGAGGTACGCTGCAGCTTTATTCTGTCTTTGTATACGCTCTTTGTTGGCAAGTTCCGGGCATCCGGAGACAAGGTAGTCAATTGTTTCTTGAAATTGCCCACAGATTCTGCACATTGAGTTGGTGCTATCTTTCAGGATCTTGTTTCGGTAATAGTTGGTCTCAATACATTGATCTTGGGCAGCAATAATGAAACCTTCTGTTTCTGGTTTGAGGCCAGGTGAACTCAACCAATAGTGGGTTTGGTCTTGGTCTACATCCTTCTCTTTTGTTCTTTTTGGGTATTGACCATGCAAAGGCTTTTCTTTCCATTTGCTCTTGAGTTGTTCTAAAGCTTGGTGTTTGGCTTTCAGTTTTACCCTTCGGGCATAGTTCGTTGTTTGCTCATTTTGCTCATTGGCCTGATTTTTTTCAGGTCTGATTTTCGCTATTGCTTAAATAGCGCTATGTACTGCGAGGATCGCACATCATATGTATCTCATACCGCTGTTCAAAATATATCAACTTCATATATTTCATTGTATCTCATTTATCACTTTCATTATTATCATCATCATCATCATTATGTTTAAATGTGAAATTGCCCAAAGAAGGGATGCCATTTGGGTGCTGGTACAAATTTCCTGTCTAAACAGTTAAGAACATTTCAATTTTCATACGCCAGTTTAGAAAAGGATCTATTTTATTAGACATTTCCCTTTGACACTTAAGGTTATTAGTTATGAATAGATTATTTTTCAAAATTCCTTTTTGGGTAACCTTTTTTCCACGAACTAGAATTTTCGCCCTGTTTTTGTTATCGCCAAAATTAAGACCTGCAAAAATGAAAAACATGAAGGTGTGTTGTAGTTCATGTGGATCACATCAGATTAGGATAATTACATTTCCACCTAGGGTGTGTAGCAACATTTTACTAATGAAACGTGCGATCACGAATGTGCGTCGGCAATGGAGCAGAACTCTGACTTGAGTAAATGCTGCTGCTTTTACAAATTTGCATATTCATGTAATGGTTGCATTACAAGCATCACCATAAATTACCACGGCCTCACGGTTTTCCTTGTGTTGTTTTTTCTCGTGTGAATTTTTTAGTCGAACTCGGCACGCTTTGAATGTGGTTCATTTTAAGCTTGAAAATACTACACCAGTTTTTTTATCCTGCGGCTGATTGTGTTTTTCGAGCAAAAACACAAATAGCTGTTTCACACGGTTGAACAATAAAACTAAATACGAAGAGTGCGCTCTAAATGTTAATAAATCCTTGTTATTGTTTGGCTACGTAGCTAAGCGGCGTATGTTTTCACATGTAAATTATAATTTATAGTAAGTGAAGTTTTAGCCAACGGGAGTTGAGAAAATGTTACCGCATCGCTAGTCAATTACAAAAACATGAACAGTCGTGTGGAATATCTGCGAGGAAATATGCCAGACTGCTGTGACTAAGCAAAAACGCGATGTTGTTGGAAGGATTGATAACTTAGTTGCTGCTAAGGATTCAAGCTTAGAAATGACGTCGGTGAATTTGGTGCTGTTTTTGGTGATTTCCTTTGAAGCAAAGCTAGCGATAAGTTTTGTAGATTGTCCGCCTCCATCGAGCAATTGCGAAAACACTACGCGGAAAAACAACAGTCGAGTTGTCGAAATTATTGACTGCGATCGTTTAAACATTTCCTGTGGGTCTGGCAAGGTTTGTCGACAAGGAAATTGTGTTTACGTTGAATCAATGTCGGACAGTAAAGAAAGTCAGAATCCGTCGACGGACGCGACCATGAAATATATAACAGTAGTGGAGACTACTGCGGAACTAACTTCCACGAGCCACAGTTTGCTCTCAGGAAACCAAGAATTTGCTATCGCTCTCGTGGGATTTTCAATTCTATTTATAAACTTTTGCTTGATTTCATTTTGCCTGGCCCGTGCAAAACAAAGGCGAAATCGACGGAACCGCTCAGCAACGACACAGGGTTCACAAACAGGGGATGATTATTGGAACGAACGTCACTTGACTGGACACGATGCGTCGCAAGCTGAATCAAACATGGGAATTGAGAATTTTGCACTGAATGGAGACTTGGATGCAGTTTTAAACGGCTGTTATGTCCCTCACGCGCACTTACCGCCTTACGATTTTAACTCGGCATACGACAAACCTCAGCCCAGATCGGACGATGGCGAAGATTTCGAAGAATCCCACGAACCTCCTCCCGATACTCAAAACACGAACGAGGACCCTCCTCCGTACAGCGATCAGCGGTACGGAAACTCGCCCAGCCCGCCAAGCTACGAAGATGTCTTAAAGGTAGCAGTGTCGAACACTGGGGAAAGTTCCTCTGGATTATGATTTTAGAAAAAAAAAAAACTTCGAACATGTGCAATAGAGGCATGTACAGAAGAAACGTGTAAATCGGAGAGCAAAGATAAGTGTTTCATGCCAGAACAAGAAATAACAATTTTGGGTAGTGATTGATACCTTTAAATTAGATAGAATCTAGTCTATGTTTTCAAACAACAACTAGCCGGGTAGGCCAATCTGGACACTTGAAAGGAACAAGTTCAAGTTGTTTTCAAGAGGGTGATATATTGAATACGCCTGTACATACATGGATACATCGTCTGGAACCACAAGAAATGTAAAAAAAACCGTAATTACTCTTTTGCAACTTATGTACGTGTTTTGAATTAGTAAATCAGTGTGAATGAATGTTTCACTATTCCTAATTCGACGAGCACTATTGATCGTTTCAGACTTCGCCATGCACGCGGTATCATGTTAATTCATGTGTGCTACATGAAAAGTCACCATAGATCTAAAGATGATAAGTGATCGTTTAGACAAGTTGATGGATGAGGCACTCTTGAATATTGCTTGAGCCAAGTTTGCTCACATCGTTTGCCAGATATATGACAAGTATTACTACATGTTAAATAATTTGAGACAGGAAGCGGCTCTTTCATTCCTTTACTTGTTTGCAGCTGTCCAAATGTAAGATACCTCAGAAGATAATCTGATTGTGTAAGCAATGACGCACTAAATGATATTTTAAAACTCATTAAAAGATCCCCTGGAATTTTGACTTTGTTTATCTTTTCGTAACGCGAATACTGAAACATTTTGTCCACTTGTGTAGACTTGCTAGGATAACAAACTTCATGTTTTTACAAAGCACGTTTTTGTCTCTATCACATCAAAGAATTTATTCTAAGAAAGCTTAAGAATACATACGACACGGCTTCTTGTGTTTGTTTTTTGTTTTGTTTCTTTTTTTTTAAACTGATGATCAGATCCAAGTTTTTGCCCACGCTTGCTTAATATCACCAAGCTTGGAATGCAGCAATCTCGGCCGCCTTCGGTCTGTTGTTTTCTGATACTCGTTTGTATTTCCGTTCCATTCTTCCCAGAGCTGTTAAGGTCTTCTTATCAGTGGTTTTCATTACTTGATATGCACCTTTTCTTTTATCCCTTCAGTCACCGAGTCCGATTCTCGCTGAAGTCATTCTCCTTATCATCACAGGATTTAAGAGATTTGCCTTTATGGTTGATCCAGCTATTCCTCCGGCACTTAACACGTCAGAGTACTGAGATCATGGGATCGAGTTGTTTTATTTTGCACGGAATTCAGATCTTCTTTTTCTCGGTTTTTAAAACAAACGGTTGGTCCCATACTACTGTGTTCAGTAAATTGTGTGCTTCGCATCTGTTCTTTGATCTGATTTGTCTTAGTAATTTGCTTTTCGAAATTAATGGCGTTGATAATAATAATTGCATCGGAAAGCCTGAGGCTATAGATCTAGACAAATCCAGGCGCCAAATCGGCCCTTATTCCGCTATGTTATCTAGCTAATTCCTCCTGTACATTTACCTTCTTAAGCAAATTTCAATCACCTCTGAGTTGACTAACATCGCAGCTTTAGGTGTCTCTAAGACGAACTTGTATTTAAGCGTGAAAACTTACTCCTTTTTTTAGCTGACACGCGCCATGGTATCAATTCGGTCAGATGTTAGCTTATGTGATTCGTACACCTCAGCGTAATACCAAAATTGGCCAAGGTCAAAAACAGCATTTATAACGCAAGCGTTCATTTCCGATATTCTCAAGTACTATCTAACTTAGATAGTCTTAGAAGCGTACTTGTCTTTAGCATTTTATACTTCACTGGTTTGCAAGTGCGCTCTAAGTTGTAAATTCGATTTTTGATGACGGCTCCAAGATCGAGTAACCAGTCCTTGACTTTCCGCGTAATGACGTTGTTATATTGTTTATAAACCAACAAATCAAGGCTTGTGTAAGCCTTGAGGGAGCATTGACTCGCTCAATGTAAACATATTATTCAAACACCGCTTTCAAAGCTAACCATCTCGTTGACAACCTTAATCCTAGCCGGCGCCATGTTTGTGCATTATCGCTGAAAAGAGGAAAGACATCTGAAAAATCCGCCAGAAATGAATGCCATGATATGTGAATGTTTTCAAATAGCCAATCACCTGTTGTATGGCTCTGATCTGCTGACATACAAGCTCTTCTCAAGACCTCTCTCGTATCTCTGGGTATTAAGTTCATTATTCTTGTAATCTTCGTGAAGTTTCATGTAAACAGCGAATCGTTTTCACACAGAGAGCTTTTATTCTGGCCTAATGATACGGTAGATTCTCAAGGTAAAAAATGGACGCACGCGTTATTGTCACGGGATGGAAGCGTCTCACGGTGTGGATGTTTGTGGCTGAGGGGTTCAGTTCATGGATGCTTTCCTTCGCTTTATGCGCGGAAAATGCCACAGAAAAAGCGGCTTGTGAAGCTTGTGAGCTGACTGAAAAACACAAGCTGTATAACTGGTTAGTTCTCGGTGTTGTGTTGGTATTACTCGTGTTGCTGCTCATGTTAGTCGGGTTCCTCTGCCACAGATTGTGGCCAAGGGATCCATCGAGGATGTCAAGAGTTGTTCGTAGGCACGAGCATCCCGGACAAGGCGCTTTAGCAGATCTAACGCAAGTTTCTTCGCAGTCGAGTTCATGATAGTAAGGAATCTCAACTGCTAAGGAGTCAAGGGGCCGCGCGCGCGACAACGGAATGTGCTAAAGCGTGGCTGACTTTAGACAACTGGTCACAGAATGTGTGACATGGGCGCCAAAAGCGAACGGCCTAAAAGGAACCTCAAGCGTGGAATGAAACTAGCTGTTCCGTTAGATTGTCAGTCTTATGTCTAGAGAAAACAGCGCTGTGGTCATGATTTTAGTGAAATATCGAAAAGAACCGGATTATCATCTTCCCTTGATACTTGACCGCTTAAAGCTGCCTAGAGCTCAATGAAAACCACAAAAATGTCTCTGGCTTATTCTCTAGGCTGTCATCTTGACAACAAGAGGGCAAATTTAGAAACAAGTGTCTGTTTTAGCCCTTAGGGCCGTAATTTGCAGGCTTGTTACTCTAGCAAAATAAATCTGACTGTTTGTGAAACGCCGCTGGTTGAACAACACAGATTTTTCTGTCATCAAGCGATTGTAACCTGTGGACAAATCGTCGAACAAGTATGCAGATCATGGCGACGTGGATACGCACGTGGTTGTGTTGTTCTGTTACGCCGGAAGGATATTTTTATTGGAAGAAGGTCTCCAGAGAAAAGTGTGATCCTTAAACAGTCACATTTTAAGACAGCAGTTTTAAAGAATTCATAATTACATTAACAAGTAGTGAATGTACACAATTTTTCACGATACAGTTTGCATATTACACAAAGTTCTTGTAGAATAGAGAATTTCATGATTGAAATATGCACATTTAATACATTTTGGACACTCAATTCGGCCGGAGTAGAGCCGAACTTTATAAACATGGCAATACCGATCTGTACAAGCCTTTCACAGCGCCATGTTAGTTGATTTCCTGCATTAAAAGTTGACATTAAAAAAACTAGGTTACTCTTAACTGAGCTTCTGCTTATTGTGATCGTGACTGAAACACTAATCGAACAAAGCTCTTGACTTGACCTGCTGATCGTAAATGAGCGCTCAACGATAACAGGGGTTTGGGCTGGAGTGGTGAGTGATCTGTCCAAAAAGTCAAGATATCGCACATTATTATTTGGTAAGGAAGTCTTGAGGTAAATCTGCGCGTTCTGATTTGTTCTTATATTACATGGTCGGGATTTAGTCATACGGACCTTTTCCATGGAAACGTTCATACGCCGTTAATGTTTGTTCTTGAAAGCCGGTAAATTCAAAATAACCAAGTTCAGTCCGAATGCCACATGATAAACTACTTACTTGCCTCACTTGCTCGAGCCTAACGGAGGAAATATTGTGTTTGTATGGAATATCATTTTTGTAAGGACCTCGCTGTGCTCGGTCCGTACTGCTATGATCTTGGGCTGATAATTCCCATAAGGCCCTCGCGCTTGTTTAGTAAGAAGTTACTATTCGTCAAGTTTCAGAGTTTGTTCTCACTATTCATATATCTTATTAACCAAGCGCGAGGGCCGTACCGGGAGAATATCGGCCCAAGGTCTTGACAGTACCGACCGAGCGCAGCGAGGACCGTACAAAAAAGACCGAAGGCCGATATTCTTCCAGTACGGTCCCGAGCAAGCTTGGTTAATAAGAGATTTATTATACGACTGAAGTTCAAAAGGACACAAGTGCGGTATCATTCGGGACCATTCGGGACAGTGCCCGGTCCAATACTGAGCGAATATTGACCGGCAATAGAGCATTTTGATTGGTTGATTTTAGTTATTGGCCCTCTGACTGCCCGAGTCGTGTAATGAATACTTTTATCATCTCTTTCTTCCCTATTCCCTTGCGATGCAATTTGCCTTAACCAAATTGCACCAATTTTGATGCGTTCGCTCTGGGGAAAATGAAGAGAAAAGGAGGCTTTAAAAAAACATCGCCAAATTACGGAAACACAATTTAAAAATTGTCAACGTCATTTCTGCGTATTTTATCTGTTATAATGTAGTTACTAGGTGATAAATTTCGGTGGTTTGGATGAAAAAGGGCTTACCTAAACACGGACTAAGTAATTAAATTCATGAAATTAGATATAATTATATTGGTGATAGGGATGGTGTACACTTAAAATAGAGTTTGCTTCTGTCTACAGGCGGACAAAAACTAGCAGCTGTCTGTTGGGTGTAGTTGTAATAAGCATGTAAATGTCCATTGGTCGCGGAAGATGCAGATCGGGATCGGTGAGGTTGCGTGACCAGCTGAGTCTAAATAAAAATGGCGGTCAGCAGAAAGAACTCTCTGCAAAACAAGGCTGTTCTTACTTAGGGACCCCACCAAAAGATGGAGTAAATCCTGCTAGTGACTTCTTTCAAGAATCTCAATCTCAAGGAACGATAAGTTATGCTCGGATAGCTATTTATGATATTAATGTACTTCGCCGGTGAAAAGATAAGTCAAGATCGGAACAGACATCTTCAAGGATCCGGTTGAATTTTTTACGAGAAGGACTTTGTTCCTTTCGATTCTGTTGTTGATTGTGCTGTTGACCCTATTCCGGTATGTCTGAACTCTTTCAAACTCTCTTCATCGTTTTGTTTATCCTGCTTTTCGCCATCACAGTTGGATGTTGTTGTCACAGAATTGCTCAGAAGCGGAGAGGGGAAGTCGCGAGGCGAAGGGCCACGCAACAAGTTGTAGCTCAACCTTCTGGTTATGCAAACCAAAGCGAGACAGGTTCCGTTTACATATTTGGACTTCGAGGAGCTAGTTCAACTTCAGACTCAACTGGAACTGCTCATCAACGGAGGAGCCCAAGAGTTGAAGAAGATGTTAATCAAGATCACGACGAAAGTCTAAGAAGCCCTGATGCTATTGCAGACAGTGGCCCCCCACCGTACATAGCCGTTTCAAATGAACCTCCACCACCAAGCTATGAGGAAGCTATGAGGAAGCCGTGAGAATTTCTTAAGAGAATTCAGCCATGTGACAAGGACAGTACGGGTAGAATTGTTCACAAATAACGACTAGCATTGGTAATAGAACAAAATATTCAACGTCGGCGATTCAGTGAATCGATTGCATTTGGGAATCGAACGTTATCGAACACGTAACGTTTCATAAGATCATTTC